ACTCTTAATGACAAATGTCGCAACACCTCAACAACATTGTATCTCGAATCAACATTTATTTATTTTTCTACCTCAATAGGCAATATTGAAGCGCTACAAAAGAATTGAATCTTAAGCGGAGTGGAACATCTCTAATTATATTCCACAAAAAGGGAGTTATTAATCATATGCCTTGGTTACACATTCCATAACACGCACAATATCATAATAAGGGTCGGAGTAACTAACATTTGATTAAAGTAGTATTTTAATTCAATTTTCATGCAAAACCCATAGCAAATTAAATTAATTAAAGGGAATACTTAAATTAGTCAAATTTTGAAAATGCAGATTTACGGCAAGGTCTTTCATTAATACATAGAGCGAAAGACTTGGGTCGTTTCACTAAGCCTGGACAAGGACAACTGTGGATTGGATTAACACTCCCTTCATCAGATCACCATATATCAATGTTTCATTGCTTGGCCACGCATGGACCAAGGCTGGGATTACGATCCTGTGACAGTGAACCCTCAGGATGTCAGAGCAGTTGCATTCCCCTGGATACAAATTCGACCAACAATCATAAAAATAACCATTATTTAATTTTTCTCCTCAATTCTACCCAACCCATTATTATACATTATAATTATATTTTACTTGGATTTATAAATGTACTTTTAGTTTGTTGAAGGTGTCCCATCCATTATATTAATCCATTGAATGTAAATATGAATATAAATGGGTCTTGAATGTTTACATCATAAAGTAATATAATAAAATGAAATCATATGGCCACACGCACCGTACCATGGCGCGCCACATTGGATTGGGTCTGCTCGGATGCATGCTTCGCACAAGTCATTGTGGTATAGTGGTGAGTATCCCCGCTTGTCATGCGGGAGACCCAGGTTTGATCCCCGGCAACGGCGTTGAGTTTTTGCGTTTAACTCTTCAAAGTAGAACAAAGCAAAGCTTAAATAAACAAAAGATACCAACTGAGCTAAAATCGGGGCTAATAATACCCTTTATAGGGTTTCTAAGTGTATATGGATTAAAGCGAAATGAGATGCCTGCAATTATATTGTTTGAAGTTAATTCTTTAATTTTAAAAGCTTCTTTCACTTTTCTCTACTTGCAGGATGTCTAATTAAATTACACTACCAATCTCTGCAATGCTCAATCTACACACCCAAATAAACATTCATAATTCACCAACAAACAACCATTATTATTATTATTAGGGTTAAGTTGCACACAACGAGAATAAAGTTGATGCATATGCAACATATTTTACAAGTCTTAAAAAGTGGTTATTTATATTAGTTCAAAACTACATATATTTTTTTCAAAAGTGGAACAAAGGCTTTAATTACCAAAACCGTACGTTTCAAAGTATCATTTTCCAAACTTCTTAATTAAAATTTGAGAATTATTTTCTTTAGGTATACCTAAATTTATTTTTATTAATTTTATCCTTTCTGTTGATTTTATTATTAATTAGCGTATTAATATTTTTGCATAACATGAAATTGAAAGTAACATAAAACACTAGCAATAATATTTTAAGTTATTTTAGTTCGAGTTAGGTTTGGATGAAATATTAACACTCAATATCTGAATTGATATGAGATATACCATAACTTCAAATATCTTAACGAATAACAATTCGTGTTTCTCTGAAATATAATTTTTGGTTTTGATTTTTAGCGTTAGTTTGAATAATGCAAATAATTTTAACTCTTAATGACAAATGTTGCAACACCTCAACAACATTGTTTCTTGAATCAACCTTTATTTATTTTTCTACCTCAATAGGCAATATTGAAGCTCTATAAAAGAATTGAATCTTAAGCGGAGTGGAACATCTCTAATTATATTCCACAAAAAGGGAGTTATTAATCACATGCCTTGGTTACACGTTCCACAACACGCACAATATCATAATAAGGGTCGGAGTAACTAACATTTGATTAAAGTAGTATTTTAATTCAATTTGCATGCAAAACACATAGCAAGTTATATTAATTTAAGGGAATACTTAAATTAGTCAAATTTTGAAAATGCAGATTTAAGGCAAGGTCTTTCAATAATACATAGAGCGAAAGGAAAACTCTCTCTAGGGTTACGCTAGGGTTTCTCTCTTCCCTTCTCTGATCGAGATTTCCGGCGACTTCTGGCTTCTTTCTACGGGTCTGCACCGGCGTTCACTGTCCGTAAACATGGAGCAAGAGTTGGTCACGGAGGTGGTTAATATTTTGGGCAGGCGCTGGGCTGACGTCGCTCTTGATGACGAGGAGGACGATGTTTTCATACCGCCGGGCGTGGGGGGTGACGAACAGCCTGCTGTGGCAGTTCAAACATGGCGGCTGGTTGGAAGATTCTTGACTACTAAGCTTGTGAAGGCGGAGTTCATGAGCCAGGTCATGGCTTCGGTATGGCAGCCGGTAAAGGGGGTACAGGTCTCAGAATTGCAACCGGGGCTTTTCCTGTTTGTGTTTTTCCTTGAAACAGATATTCAATTGGTTCTTGAGGGAGGGCCATGGTCCTTTGAGAATCACACGTTTGTTTGCAAACAGGTCCAGGATGGGGTTATTCCGGTCACGGTACCGCTGAACACGGTTGATATGTGGATACAGGTGCATGACTTACCGCTGGGCTATACCTCAGATCTTATTCTGGAGCAAGTTGGGAATTTTCTCGGAACTTTTGTTAAAATTGATGATAGGTTTGCGAATGCACCATGGAAGACATTCTACCGGATTAGGGTTTCAATCTCAGTCTTGAAACCACTGAAACGTTGCATGAAACTTATGAAGAGGGATAAGTCGACGTGTTGGGTTAACTTCAAATATGAAAGGCTGCACAACTTTTGTTACTTCTGTGGTATGATGGGGCATCTACACAAGTATTGTCTGAAAGCGAGAGATGCAAGAATACCAATTGACCAGTATCCGTATGGTGAGGGCCTACGTGCGGGTTTTAAGAAGGGTCCGCGTAAGGTGGGTGCATCATGGCTGCTAAACATGAACGGCAACCCCATGGCGGGGTCCCCTTTGGGCGCTATGCCGAGTGCTCGGGTTGATGGACAAGATGGTAGTGCATCTGAGGCTGCACGGGATGGTGGGGAGGATGGTGTAGTCACAGCTGCAACAAAGAGGAGAAGGGCCGATTTAATGTGAATGATGAGGGCAGTGTGAAGAATGGAGGGGATGTTGTTATGACAGAGATCCAAAAAAACTTGTCTGTGGCGGGTACTGGTTCCCAGTCCCGCCCGTCATTATGAGTACCATCAGCTGGAACTGTTGTGGCTTGGGCAATCCACGAACAGTTCGAGAGTTAACGGACCCAGCGTCCCGCAAGAAGCCTGATTTTATTTATCTTATGGAAACCATGGTGGAACGAATACATGCTGAAAGGATTCGTGTCACCCTTGGTTTTGATGGCCTTTTTTTATGTTGATCCGAGTCCGCAGGGTGGTGGCGGCTTAGCACTACTATGGCGTAAGAATGATACGGCGAGTCTTTTGAGTTACTCAAAAAATCATATTGATATTGAGGTGAATATGCCCAGTTTTCCGAGGTGGAGGATGATGTGTTATTATGGCTATCCCCAGCGTCATAGGCGTACGGAAGCATGGGACTTGATAAAATCCTTCGCGCCGCGTTCCACCCTACCTTGGGCTATGATTGGGGATTTTAACGAGCTCTTGTTTCAATATGAGAAGAGAGGGGGCAATCCACATCCTAATAATCTCCTACGCGGGTTTGGGGACACTATTAATCACTGTGGCTTGACTTAATTGCCTATGGAGAGATACCGATTTACTTGGGAAAAGGGGAAGGGTACGCCTGCATGTATTGAAGAATAATTGGATAAGGTACTGGCTTCTAATGATTGGCGTGAGATTGTACCGGGGGCCAGGGTCATTAATAGTCTGATGAGGAGATCGGATCACTCTGCACTGTTTCTGAGTATCCATGAAACGTTCCGGAGTGGGGGGCGAAGAGGGAGGGGTTTTCGGTTTGAAATGGCCTGGGTATATGATGATGGGTGCAGGAATGTGGTGGAAAAGTCATGGGAGGAAGGGAGGCATGATGGGGTCCAGGACTGTATAGCACATTGTGGGAACTGGTTAACCAAGTGGGGTGGTGACCGGTATCATAAGTTTGGGGAGAAGATCATGCTCCTGCGGAAACAGCAACTACATCTTAGGGGTCGCACTGATCCAACATCTCTAGCTGAATTCCAACGACTGGAAGGAATTCTGAGTAATATGGAGACCCAGGAGGATGTTTACTGGAGGCAAAGAGCCAAGCAACACTGGCTTAAGAATGCTGATGCGAATACAAAATTCTACCACAGGTACGCCTCTCATCGTAAGAAGAAAAATACTATTTATAAACTTATGAATGATAATGGGGATTGGTTGGAAGGAAATGCTATGAATACAATTATCTTGGATTATTTTACCCATATATTCTCCTCTTGTGGACCTGTGGAGGGTGACATTTTATTCTCTGAGATAACCCCCCGTGTAACCCAGACTCAGAATGAATCGTTGTTACGACCCTTTGAGTTAATTGATGTTAAGGAAGCTCTGTTTGCGATGGCCCCAGACAAAGCACCTGGTCCAGATGGTATGAACCCAGGTTTTTACCAGCATTTTTGGGATATAGTTGGTAGTGATATTTCGGCGTTTATTCTGAACTGCCTTAATAATCGAATCTTCCCCTCTAACCTGAACAATACGGATGTGGTGCTCATCCCGAAAAAGAAAACCCCTGAAGTGGTAGCAGATTTTCGCCCAATAGCTTTGAGTAATGTGATCTACAGGATAATGGCGAAGATGATTACACAGAGAATGAAGCCTTTGATGGAGAGTATAATATCGGGCTCACAGAGTGCTTTTATTCCGGACAGGCTAATTACTGATAATATTCTTGTAGCTGCTGAGGTGGGGGCATTTCTTGAATAGAAAGCAGTGTGGGGCTGTAGGATGGGGTGCACTCAAACTTGATATGGCCAAAGCCTCTGACCATATGGAATGGCCCTTCCTCCGTGGGATGTTGTTAGCCCTGGGTTTTGATAGTAGGTGGATTGAGTTGATTATGTTATGTGTCACTACTGTGTCATATAACTTTATGATAAATGGCTCCCGTAGCTCCTCCATTACGCCCACGCGTGGTCTCCGCCAGGGGGATCCGTTATTCCCTTACTTGTTTATTATATGTGCAGAAGGGCTGTCAGTTTTATTGCAACGAGCGCAGGATAGAGGATTAAAACATGGTTGCAGGGTTGCTAGAGGGGCACCTCCGATCTCTCACTTATTTTTTGCAGATGATAGCCTACTATTTTTTAGAGCAAATATACAGGAAGCATCTGAGATAAAAAATTGTTTGTTATTATATGAGAGTTTATCTGGCCAGAAGGTAAATTATCATAAATCCAGTATATGTTACAATAGAAAATACAGGACAGAATGATAGGGATGTGGTAGCACAAATACTAGGTGTTACTCAAGCTCCAAACTTTGGGAAATACCTAGGACTACCCTCCTTTGTGGGCAGGAACAAGAAGGCTGCATTTGCATATATAGAGGATAAAATCAAGCAAAGGATTGGGTCTTGGAATAAGAGATTGTTAACGCAGGCTGGTAAGGAGATCTTGTTAAAAAGTGTGGCCCAGGCAATGCCAACTTTTTCAATGAGTGTCTTCCTATTACCCGTATCTATTTGTACAGCTATTGAGCGAATTATGAATCGGTACTGGTGGGGGTCAGGAACCGATCGTGGCATCCACTGGAAGGCCTGGGATAAATTATGTGTCCCAAAGAAACATGGTGGTCTGGGGTTTAAAGATTTAAGGGCATTTAATTTGGCAATGTTAGGTAAGCAGGCCTGGAGACTTCTTACTAACACAGACTCACTGGTAGCCAAGATTTATAAAGCCAGATATTACCCAAAGGATACTTTCCTGGAGGCGACTATAGGAAATAATCCAAGTTTTTGCTGGCGCAGTATTATGGCGGCTAAGGATCTAATATGTGGAGGTATAAGAAGGCGAGTTGGGAACGGTAAATCTACCTTGATATGGGAACATCCCTGGCTGCAGGATGAACTTGATCCTATGATTCACACAGAAATGCCACAACACCTGTCTGGGGCCAAAGTGGTAGGATTAATTGATCAGGACACGGAGACCTGGGACCCGCATATATTAGCCGATATTTTCCAACCAAGTGATATACCTAGAATCCAAAGGATACCAGTTGCACCTGAATATGAGGATATATGGTATTGGTATGATGATCCTAATGGATGTTACTCGGTCAAGAGTGGTTACAGGCGTATAGTTGGTAACTATGTGAATAATTCTAATGGGATATTTGATGAATGGCTAGCCCTATGGAAGTTAAACATTCCACCCAAGTGGAAGACATTCTTATGGAGAGCTATTTGTGATATCCTTCCTACTACCAACAACTTGCTTATAAAGAGAGTGGAGGTTAACCCGATGTGTGCCATGTGTGGGAGGATGAATGAAGATACCATGCATGCATTAGTTTTGTGTGACTATGCACACTCCATATGGACTCAATCCAACCTTCCAATCCCCAATATTATCACAAATGTTTTCCATGAATGGTTTAGTGCAATCTTGAATGTTCTAGACTTTGATGGAATTATTTATGCAGCTGCAATTTTATACCACTTATGGAGGGCCCGAAACGGAGCGGTGTGGGATGCCTGCCTACCAAGACCAACGAAATTATTAACAATTGCAACAGCTACAATGAGGGCATGGAAAGCTGTCCACCACCGTGCGCCACAACAACCTGCTCAACACCCCGGAGCTGCTCCTATTCATCATACTGCCGACGTATCGTTACTGGCTGACGGAACTGCCTCCAATGCGCTGCCTACTGCCTCCAATGCGCTGCCTCCACCGCACACTGTCTCGGCCGAACCCCAAGATGGTGCAGTAACAACGCCGGTGAAATGTTACATGGACGCGAGCTACCACCGTGGAACAAATACAGCTGCTGTTGGGGCGGTCCTCCTCAACGCAAATGGCCACTATTTATCGGCTTTCAGTGCCCCGTTAATAGGATGCCACTCCCCGTTAATGGCCGAGGCTTTTGCATGCAAAGAAGTATTATCATGACTTAAGAGATGGAATGAGCAATCTATACAAGTACACACGGATTGCCAATTATTACAGTCCTATCTATCTGGACCATCAACCACATCACGGTCATACCTGGGTTATGCTATCGACAGTTGCAGAACCTATTTATCTATGTTTGCTTACAGCTCAGTTATTTACATTCCTAGATTACAGAACTTATTAGCTCATACTTTAGCTTCTACGGCTTTTACTTTCGCTACTGCCATGTACTGGGACAATGTCCCTCCAGACTCTATTTTACCACTTCTATAAATCCAACCACCTGGTTGACTTTCAAAAAAAAAAAAAAAAACATAGAGCAAAAGACTTGGGTCGTTTCACTAAGCCTGGACAAGGACAACTGTGGATTTGATTAACACTCCCTTCATCAGTTCACCATATATCAATGTTTCATTGCTTGGCCACGCATGGACCAAGGCTGGGATTACGATCCTGTGACAGTGAACCCTCAGGAAGGCAGAGCAGTTGCAGTCCCTGGATACAAATTCGACCAACAATCATAAAAATAACCATTATTTAATTTTACTCCTCAATTCTACCCAACCCGTTATTATACATTATAATTATATTTTACTTGGATTTATAAATGTACTTTTAGTTTGTTGAAGCTGTCCCGTCCATTATATTAATCCATTGAATGTAAATATGAATATAAATGGGTCTTGAATGTTTACATCATAAAGTAATAATATAATAAAATGAAATCATATGGCCACACGCACCGTACCATGGCGCGCCACATTGGATTGGGTCTGCTCGGATGCATGCGTTGCACAAGTCGTTGTGGTATAGTGGTGAGTATCCCTGCTTGTCACGTGGGAGACCCGGGTTCGATCCCCGGCAACGGGGTTGAGTTTTAGCGTTTAACTCTTCAAAGTAGAACAATGCAAAGCTTAAATAAACAAAAGAAATCCGACCTGCCGAATTTGAACCAGCGACCTAAGGATTTCAACTCAGATTATTACTCCAACTACAGTTCTCAGCTCTACCTACTGAGCTAAATTCGGGGCTAATAATACCCTTTATAGGGTTTCTAAGTGTATATGGATTAAAGCGAAATGAGATGCCTGCAATTATATTGTTTGAAGTTAATTTTAAAAGCTTCTTTCACTTTTCTCTACTTGCAGGATGTCTAATTTAATTACACTACCAATCTCTGCAATGCTCAATCTACACACCCAAATAAACATTCATAATTCACCAACAAACAACCTTTATTATTATTATAAGGGTTAAGTTGCACACAACGAGAATAAAGTTGATGCATATGCAACATATTTCACACCTCTTAAAAAGTGGTTATTTATATTAGTTCAAAACTACATATATTTTTTTCAAAGTGGAACAAAGGCTTTAATTATCAAAACCGTACGTTTCAAAGTATCTTTTCCCAAACTTCTTAATTAAAATTTGAGAATTATTTTCTTTAGGTATACCTAAATTTATTTTTATTAATTTTATCCTTTCTGTTGATTTTATTATTAATTAGCGTATTAATATTTTTGCATAACATGAAATTGAAAGTAACATAAAACACTAACAATAATATTTTAAGTTATTTTAGTTCGAGTTAGGTTTGGATGAAATATTAACACTCAATATCTGAATTGATATGAGATATACCATAACTTCAAATATCTTAACCAATAATAATCCGTGTTTCTCTGAAATATAATTTTCGGTTTTGATTTTTAGCGTTAGTTTGAATAATGCAAATAATTTTAACTCTTAATGACAAATGTCGCAACACCTCAACAACGTTGTTTCTCGAATCAACCTTTATTTATTTTTCTACCTCAATAGGCAATATCGAAGCGCTATAAAAGAATTGAATCTTAAGCGGAGTGGAACATCTCTAATTATATTCCACAAAATGGGAGTTATTAATCATATGCCTTGGTTACACATTCCACAACACGCACAATATCATAATAAGGGTCGGAGTAACTAACATTTGATTAAAGTAGTATTTTAATTCAATTTGCATGCAAAACACATAGCAAATTAAATTAATTAAAGGGAATACATAAATTAGTCAAATTTTGAAAATGCAGATTTAAGGCAAGGTCTTTCAGTAATACAAAGAGCGAAAGACTTGGGTCGTTTCACTAATCCTGGACAAGGACAACTGTGGATTAGATTAACACTCCCTTCATCAGTTCATCACCATATATCAATGTTTCATTCCTTGGCCACGCATGGACCAAGGCTGGGATTACGATCCTGTGACAGTGAACCCTCAAGAAGGCAGAGCAGTTGCAGTCCCCTGGATACAAATTCGACCAACAATCATAAAAATTACCATTATTTAATTTTACTCCTCAATTCTACCCAACCCGTTATCATACATTATACTTATATTTTACATGGATTTATAAATGTGCTTTTAGTTTGTTGAAGGTGTCCCGTCCATTATATTAATCCATTGAATGTAAATATGAATATAAATGGGTCTTGAATGTTTACATCATAAAGTAATATAATAAAATGAAATCTTATGGCCACACGCACCGTACCATGGCGCGCCACATTGGATTGGGTCTGCTCGGATTCATGCATTGCACAAGTCGTTGTAGTATAGTGGTGAGTATCCCCGCCTGTCACGTGGGAGACCCGGGTTCGATCCCCGGTAATGGCGTTGAGTTTTTGCGTTTAACTCTTCAAAGTAGAACAAAGCAAAGCTTAAATAAACAAAAGAAATCCGACCTGCCTGATTCGAACCAGCGACCTAAGGATTTCAGCTTTGATTAGTACTCCTACTACAATCCTCCGCTCTACCAACTGAGCTAAAGTCGGGGCAAATAATACCCTTTATAGGGTTTCTAAGTGTATATGGATTAAAGCGAAATAAGATGCATGTAATTATATTGTTTGAAGTTAATTTTAAAAGCTTCTTTAACTTTTCTCTACTTGCAGGATGTCTAATTAAATTACACTACCAATCTCTATAATACTCAATATACACACCCAAATAAACATTCATAATGGTGAGTATCCCCACCTGTCACGCGGGAGACCCAGGTTCGATCCCCGGCAATGACGTTGAGTTTTTGCGTTTAACTCTTCAAAGTAGAACAAAGAAAAGCTTAAATAAACAAAAGAAATCCGACCTGCCAGATTCGAACTAACGACCTAAGGATTTCAACTCAAATTATTACTCCAACTACAGTCCTCCGCTCTACCAACTGAGCTAAAGTCGGGGCTAATAATACCCTTTATAGGATTTCTAAGTGTATATGGATTAAAGCGAAATGAGATGCCTGCAATTATATTGTTGGACGTTAATTTTAAAAGCTTCTTTCACTTTTCTCTACTTGCAGGATGTCTAATTTAATTACACTACCAATCTCTGCAATGCTCAATATACACACCGATATAAACATTCATAATTCACCAACAAAAAACCTTTATTATTATTATTAGGGTTAAGTTGCACACAACGAGAATAAAGTTGATGCATATGCAACATATTTCACACCTCTTAAAAAGTGGTTATTTATATTAGTTCAAAACTTCATATATTTTTTTCAAAGTGGAACAAAGGCTTTAATTACCAAAACCGTACGTTTCAGAGTATCGTTTTCCAAACTTCTTAATTAAAATTTGAGAATTAATTTCTTTAGGTATACCAAAATTTATTTTTATTAGTTTTATCCTTTCTATTGATTTTATTATTAATTAGCGTATTAATATTTTTGCATAACATGAAATTGGAAGTAACATAAAACACTAACAATAATATTTTAAGTTATTTTAGTTCGAGTTAGGTTTGGATGAAATATTAACACTCAATATCTGAATTGATATGAGATATACCATAACTTCAAATATCTTAACCACTAACAATTCGTGTTTCTCTGAAATATAATTTTTGGTTTTGATTTTTAGCGTTTGTTTGAAAAATGCATATAATTTTTACTCTTAATGACAAATGTCGCAAAACCTCAACAACATTGTTTCTCGAATCAACCTTTATTTATTTTTCTACCTCAATAGGCAATATTAAATCGCTATAAAATAATTGAATCTTAAGCGGAGTGGAACATCTCTAATTATATTCCACAAAACGGGAGTTATTAATTACATGCCTTGGTTACACATTCCACACCACGCACAATATCATAATAAGGGTCGGAGTAACTAACATTTGATTAAAGTAGTATTTTAATTTCATTTGCATGCAAAACACATAGAAAATTAAATTAATTAAAGGGAATACTTAAATTAGTCAAATTTTGAAAATGCAGATTTAAGGCAAGGTCTTTCAATAATACATAGAGCGAAAGACTTGGGTCGTTTCACTAAGCCTGGACAAGGACAAATGTGGATTAGATTAACACTCCCTTCATCAGTTCACCATATATCAATGTTTCATTGCTTGGCCACGCATGGACCAAGGCTGGGATTACGATCCTGTGACAGTGAACCCTCAGGAAGGCGGAGCAGTTGCAGTCCCCTAGATACAAATTCGACCAACAATCATAATAATAACCATTATTTAATTTTACTCCTCAATTCTACCCAACCCATTTTATACATTATAATTATATTTTACTTATATTTATAAATGTACTTTTAGTTTGTTGAAGGTGTCCCGTCCATTATATTAATCCATTGAATGTAAATATGAATATAAATGGGTCTTGAATGTTTAGATCATAAAGTAATATAATAAAATGAAATCATATGGCCACACGCACCGTACCATGGCGCGCCACATTGGATTGGGTCTGCTCGGATGCATGCGTTGCACAAGTCGTTGTAGTATAGTGGTGAGTATCCCCGCCTGTCACGCGGGAGACCCGGGTTCGATCCCCGGCAACGGCGTTGAGTTTTTGCGTTTAACTCTTCAAAGTAGAACAAAGCAAAGCTTAAATAAACAAAAGAAATCCGACCTGCCGGATTCGAACCAGCGACCTAAGGATTTCAACTCAAATTATTAATCCAACTACAGTCCTCCGCTCTACGAACTGAGC